GACATCCTGAACTTCCCAGTTACCCACAAAAACAAATTCCCATTTCTGTTTAAAGTCAATGAGAATTGAGCTTCAGTCATTTGCCCCCTGTGTGGACTCAGCCAGTGACTTCCCCCCTTTGAGACTGTTTCCCATTCTGTTGAGTGGGGCCACAGCATCCTGGGGTTGTGAGAGTTAAAGTGGAGGGCCCTATGTTAAACACATACCCCTCTCCTGCCTCTGTTCTTGGGTCTGATTCTGCCCCCACCTCTTGTCCAATAACTTAATCTCTGGGGAGACTGGGCTCCAGGACTGAGCACTAGCAGTTCAGCCTGGTGCTGTCAAGACCCTCCAACCCCCACCCCCAGGCCAATGACAGCCCAGCTGGGAGCCCACCATGTGGAATGTTGGAACAGAGCAACGATGTGGATGCACCCTTCCATACCTGCCCCTAGCTTCCTGCGGCAGGCACCTGTGCTCCTTTGCCTGAGGGTGGGGCCTTCGCAGGCTAGAGAGCTGGGCATGAATGTCTCCAGGAAGAGCCCTGAACAATGCAAGATGGGAGCTGGCATATAAGTGCCACAACTTCTTGGCCCTTTTGGTGAAACAATTTCAAACTGTGTTCCACAGTTTACCAGACGTCCCCAATGGGATGGTGCCCAGAGCAGCAACCAGCTCATTAACTCCACCACTACAACTGGACTTTCCCCTCCCCGGCTCACTTCCTCACTCCCCTACCGCTCTTGCAAGGATCACCGTCCAAATAACGTGCTTGCACTTGAATCTTTCGTCAGGGTCTGGGGCAACCCAACCTGAGATGGGCTGATTCCATTTGAGTCTGTGTAGACACGAGGGCCATATCCCAGATTCTGGGCGCCCAAGCACACAATGTCCTCACACATCCTGTGACAGTGACCATTTATTACACACCACTGGGCTGTGAACTCAGACTGGGGGGAGACCGTTGACGTAGCTGAGCACCAGGTAAGGTGTCCTGGCCAGTCGGGCGTGAGAGCAGCAGAAGATCCCAGGCACGGGCAGGAGCAATGTGGCACCCACCAGGAGGAGAAGGAGAAAGAAGAGGAGAAGGAGGAAGGCCAGGGGCCACCTGGACGCAGGATCCGGGGCCCTGCCAAGGGAAAGGCAGTGTTAAATATGTGGGTGGGCTGCCGCCATGAGCCCTGTCCCCCAACCCATCTTCTGGGGACCTCACCCAGCATCCACCTCCAGGGCCACATCCTGGAGACTGGAAGACGCTTGCCTCTTCTTGTCCTAAGGGCACACGGCAGCCACGGCAGAATGGATGGAGGTGACACTTAGTACGAACCTTCCCTTACTATTGCGGACCTACAGGGATGGTCTCAGTGCTCCCCCTCTCCTGGCACCCCCGCTATCCCCAGGGGACGGGGAATAGCTCCAGTGTCGTGGATGTCTGTTCGTGCCTGTCCTCCACTCCAATCAGCCCCCCCTTTCCTCATAACAGTGGCTCGATTTGGGGTGGCGGGGTCATGCTTTCTACTCGTTAAGTAGAGACAGCTTCAGGTTCATGGGAAGCTGACCCCAGCCTCCTCCGCTTCCACGACTGGGCACCTGACCCAGACCAGGCCTCCGGTTCATTCGGGCTGCAGCCCATGACCCCAGCCAGGCAAGCGGGACTTGGGACTCTGGCCGCCACTTGTAGGTCAGAGACATGCTCCTTCCCCTGGGCGGGTAAACCAACGGGAAGTGAGGGTGCAGTGGCCAGGCAGGCATTCTGCTGAGCAGGACGCCACCTTGGGGAAGTAGAGGCCAAGAGAGGGAGGGACTGAGCCCTGACCATTTGAGTACCTGGACTTTTCAGTTACATAAGAAAAATAGCATCCCCTTTTCTGTGTCATCCAATTGGTTGGGTTTCTGTCACTTGCCATCAAGATTCCTGGGTGCTAGACCCGGCTGAGGACCAGCTCACCTGAGGCTTCCGGAGCAGGGAGCATCTTCCATAACCTGCGAAGTGTTTCCGGTGGCTGAGGCCGGACCCGGGCACATCCTGTGGGGAGAGAGGCGTGTGGTTCTTGGAAAACAAGCAACCAAGAGACATGGCTAAGGAAGGACTAGGACTGGGGGGCCTGAGGCGAGATTCTGGGGGCACAGAGAGATCTCACGGGAGAGACAGAGAGGGGCAGACCCGGAGAAACCAAGAGAGGAGATGTTATTTATTCATTCCTTCAACAAATGTTTAATGAGTGTCTATTACATGCCAGGCACTGTTCTAGAAGCTGGGGACTCAGTGCAGATGGAAACAGGCGAAATCCTGACCCCCGTGGAACTTCTATTTTAGTGGGAGGGGGAGACCATAAATCAATAAACACGTATAAAGTCAAACTGCGCTGAGTGCTGTTAGGAGGTGATGTAAGATCAGGGTCACTAATGTGTGGGAGAGATGGCGTTTGAGGAGGGGCTGGAAGGAAGGGGAAGGTAAGCCTGGCATGCTTCTTGGGGTTTCAAGGTGGGAGTGGATGGGGTGTTCACACAAGAGCCAGGAGGCCAGCGCAGCCGCAGCAAGAAAAGCAAGGGGCAGCGGGAGAGAGAGAAATCGGGCCTGAGATGTAGACAGAGACAGACGGGAGAGAGACATGGAATGAAGAGAGACAGAGATAGAGGGAGAGACAGAGCCACTGACACTTTGAAAGGGAAGGAGCCGGCTGGAAGGGACACAGAGGTGCCCTCTGGTTGCCTGGGGGACGAGGGTCCCTCAAGAGGGACTGCTCTCACCTCAAGGCCTTGTCCTCTGCCCTGGGGGGCCCTGTGGCCACACAGCTCGCAGGGAGCCCCTGGTGTCCAGGCTGTCTTTTGCCCCAAGGGTCCGAGGTCCCCAACGTCCCCTGCTGGATCCCACTCCAGCTCTGCGGAAGCGGGGAGGCCACTGGGCGCCCAGGGACCCCAGACCCCACCAGGTCCTGGCCCGTCCACGTCCCTCTCGACCTCCAAGTCCTGGTCCAGCTCGTTGGCCTCCTTGTTGAACACCTGGGTCAGAGGACAGAGGTCATGGGGGTCGGGAGATTGGGGCCTGGGCCTGGGGGGCCATCGGGGTGGGCCATACCAGGCTGTAGCTGACCAGCTGGGCCTGTAGCTGCCAGAGCCGTCGGAAGATGGTGTCTCTGTGGGCTCCGAGGGCCCTCAGGATCTGCTCCAGGGACGCCCAGGCCCTGGGCTCACTCCGCTGTGCCAGCCCCTCACCGAACGCCAGCAGCGCATCCACGCGCTCAGCCGCCCCTCGGAGGTCTGCCTGCAGGGCCTGCGGACATGTGGTGGGACATCACCCCACACACACACCAGGGACATCAGAGACTCAGAGTCTGGAGTTAAGCCCCAGCTCCTGACTTCCTATCCAGAGACCCGGAACATGCAACACACCCATTTCCCACCCCAGAAAGCTGGCGCCCACCCTCCCACATCCTGGCCCCACTGCCCACCTGCAGCTGGACCATGCCTCTCTGTGCCAGTGCCCAGGGCCCCCGGCCTCGCTCCGGGTCCTGCGGCCGGAGCCCCATCCCCACTAGGCAAATGTGCAGGCTGTCCTGTTCGGCCTCCAGTACCTCCAGGCCGGAGGTGGGGTGCTGGGGAACACAGGGGTCTGCGTCAGGACCAGTGAGCCAATCAAGACATTATGCTCACCCCCACTGCCACCCCTCTTCTGCAGGCTCCTGCCTTCTAGATGCTTCTCTGCAGCAGAATCCACCTCTGGGCCTACACCAGGGCTGCTCCCACTTGGGGGCCTTCCCAGTGGAGCCAGGCCTGGGGACATTGAATCCAAGGTCTTCTGGTTTTCAAAGCTCCAGGAAACCTGGACATGTGTGGCTTGGAGGTCTGGACAGGGAGGGGGTCACAGAGCAGGGAACCTCCAAGAGCAATAGGGATGCGCAGGGACCGACAATGAAATACTTCCCTCCCAGTTGGTAAAATACTGAAATACTTCTGCACTGAATGGTAAAGAAACACTTTCCTGAGTGTCCCTCCCCTCATAGATGCCCACCACCTTTCCAGAATCATCACCTCATCTGCAGTGTGGAGGAGGCCAGATTCTGGGGGACAGAGAGGAGGGGGCAGCTGGCACAAGGGGTCTGAGTCACCTCTGCTCACCTCACAGTGTTTGCCTCCAGCTGGGTCCTCATGGGAAGAGGGTGTTGACCATCTTGGGGGGCCAGCAGCAGGCTCAATGCTCCTTAGCCCACCTTGGAAGTGCTCAGGAGGGTCCAGGGAGTCTTGTCCCTGTTTCTGGGCCTGCTCCAGCCTGGGAGGTAGGGGACACTGGGCGCATGAGCCTCAGTAGCTCATTTTCCACCCCACCCCACCCTCGCTCCCTCCCCAGCTCCCTCTCCTGTCCCCAGGTGATCACAGTCACAGCAACCCCTTCCCACAAATGGCCCTTGCTACTGTCCCCACCCCCTTGGGAACAAACTCCAAAAACCCCAGCCCCCACCTGACTCTGTCCTTTTCAGATGCAGGGCAGATGGTGCATCCAGCAACGTTCGGCTCCCCAGGGGCTCCAGGGGGGTGGCTGAGTGGCTCTGAGGGGAGCCTAGGGCCCAGAGGTAGGGACAGGGCCATAGCTGGGGGTCTGGGGACAGAGAGTCAGGTGAGGACCTTTTCCCTAGTCAAGGGTGTCCCCCAGACCTTCTCAACAGGACTCACCCAGGCCTGAGGCTGCCAGAGGGGCCCAGGGGCAGGCCTGGCTCCACCCCTTCCAAGAGGAACCTGGACCTGGGTAATTTGATCCCCAGCTCAGGTGACCAGAGAGCGACTTAACTCCTTCCTCCCTAACAGGACCAGTAGCTAAACCTCCCAACATGGTCCCACTGCTCTCCAAGGAGCTTCCAGATATAACCCCACCCCCACCACCCCAAGAGCCCCGATTCTGTCCCACTCAGGACCCACACATCTAACCTCCAGGGCCTGCCCACCCACTTAAGGTCCCAGATGCAGTGCCCCTCAGGAACCCAAGCATCTGCCACCCCCTTCCCCCAGAAAAAACCACGAAAACCAAGGAAAGATATATTTTGATTTATTCGGAATGGGTTTTTTTTTCCTGTGGTTCCCGCAAAGTTATTGAGAAAAATAAATAATCCAGGGGAGCTGCCTCTGCCTCAGGGTTCAAGGTCACAGAATCGCAGCAGCCCCAGGATGGCGAGGAAGCCAGATCCCGACGGTCCGGAGCCTGGCGATCACTTGCCGAGCAAGAGGCCGGCGCGCAGCACGCGGGGCACGCGGCGGATGGTCAGCGAGACCCGAGTGCCGCGGACCAGGCAGGCTCCGGGCCGCGCCGACGGGCAGGCGGCCGCGTTGGGCGGCAGGGAGGTGGCATGGAGCTCGTCTACCCGGGCAGCAGCGATGCCGTGGAGGAGGCGCGTGTAGGCGGTGCCACGCAGCACCAGCAGGCTGCGCGGTTCCAGCAGCAGCGACGTGGTGGGCCGGGGCGGGGGCCGGGGCTGCGGGGCGGGTTGATGGTCAGCAGGCTTCGAGGGATCAGGGGACAAGGGTCAGTGAGTCCCCAGGGACAAAGGCTCAGGAGCAAGCCTGCTCCCAGGGATGGAGGCTTTGGTGGTTCAGGAGTGAAAATTGGCGGATCCTGGGGCTGCTGGGGAAGGGAGGGGGTGGGGACAGCAGTCTCGCGGGAGGGGGAAGGAACTAGGTTGCAGATGGGGGTGTTAAAGAGTCAGCAGGCCCAGAGAGCTGCAGCTGGGATCTCCTAACAGCTGGGGCTGGGACTGTTTCCCCAGGAAAGGCAGGCAGAGCCTGCTGAGAGGGCATGGATGAAGCCAGGCCCCCCCCCCCCCGCAGGCCCCGAGGGACCCTGCTGGACAGTGAGGCAGAGGTTCCAGGGAGTGGGCATACCCAAGGTCATCAGGATGTTAGAGGACACTGGCACAGAAGGAGCCCAAGAGCACTCGGGGGAAAAGGGAAGCCCCAGGGAGGAGCAGGTCAGGGTGTCCAGGGCAGCTTCTGTGAACGCTTCAGTGTCACAAATGCATCACTCAGAGAAAGAGATGAGTGATGGTGTCGCCAGGGTATCTGGGGGGACCCTGAGCAGCAAAGCATGTGTCAGGGGTCCCAGGAGGATCTGGGTGTCCTGCACCACAGATCACATTACTGGAGTGGCAGGATGCCAGTGCTAGGGTGCCCTGTGCAGGGGACAGAGTCAGGACATCTGGGAGGATGTCGGGGCACCCATGAGTGCATGGCAGTGGGGTGTCTAAGGATGTCAGAGTGTCTGCTGGAGTATTGGGGGGCCCTGCACGGGGTCAATATGGACCTCGGGCAGTTGGAACACTCTGAGCACATGTGGTCAGGAGGTCTACGGGGTGTCAGGGGCATCTATTCAGCAGGTTGGGGCACTGGGGTGTCTGTGGAAATTATGGTATGTAAGGTACCCTGAAAGCAGATGGACCTGGTGTCTGGGAGGAGGCAGTTGTGCTCCATGAGGGGACAGGGGAAGGTGTCTGGGTGTCAGGAGTACCTCAAAGGCAGGTGGAATCAGGTGATCTTGGAGGATGTGGGCGGTTGGAGTGCCCACAAGTGGCTGGGGTAGCGTCTCGGGCCCACCTGTTCCACAGGGTCATCATCCTCCGGCTGCCGCGGCTCGTACAGGTCCAGCATGGTGTGGGAGCCCAGGCTGATGGTGCTGACAGTCGGGTAGTACAGTGGTCCGTCCTCATGGGGCTGGGGAGTGGGCACCAGGGCTGGGCAGGGCAGGGGTCCACACCCCCACCCTTTAAGTTAAAGGGGGGCTCTGAAGCTGGGGACAGGGAGGTGAATGCCTCTTGGGGTATGTGGGTACTTGATGAGTGTGGGCAAACATGAAGCCCTTGCCCCGTGATGGCGCAGAGGTCTGGGGGAGGCAGTTACTGTGGGGGTCAGGGCGAGGGTATGTAGTTACCATGATGCCCTCCCCTGGCAGATACTGGTTCACGAGGACATGGTTAGCTGGGAGACCCCCAAAAAGTCTGAGGTCAGACACTTTGTCCACGTAGCGCTGGAGCCATGGGGGCAGCCGCTCAGGAACCATCCCCCGTGGATGGGGGAGCCCACCTGGGGAGGGCAACAGGGTCCTGAGGGCTTCCCCATGGGACTTGGAGCCCCCATTAGGGATATCCCAGTGTTTGGAAGCACCCTGACCCCCTCAGGGACCACAGGACCCTTCAAAGGCTTCCTAACTTCTCCAGATCACTGGACCCTTTCAGATACTCACAACTCATCAGGAAGGACATCCCTAACCCCTCAGGACTTCCACAGACCCCTCAAAATCATGTCCACTGAGACCCCTTGAGCCCTCAGGGATTTCCCCCCAACCCCAATGTCTGGAGCCCCCTGCTCCAGCCCACATCCCAGAATCACCCATGCCCCCAGCCAGGGACACTTACCCCAGTTCTGTAACTTCCTCCCGGAGAGCTGGGTCCACTTTGGCTTTGGGGCATTAAAAACCTAGCAGGTGAAGAAGGTGTCACTCCTTTTTCAGGACCATGCCTCCAGAGTTCTCCCACCCTTTCCCTGGGGTGGAAATGGGTCATCTCACTGTCTATGGGATCATTCTCTGGGGTAGTGTTTTCCCAGGATTTTGGTTTTTGCCTTCTTTCCTGGGGAGGCTTTTGGCCCCAAAGCCCACCGGTGTCTACTGGCATTGAGGAAAGGAACCAGGACTACACAATTATGGTCTGAATCTACTCAGTTCTGGGGCTGGACTGGGCTCTTTCAGCTCAGCAGCAAATAGTCTTTACTCGAATTTCCTGATTCCTGGGCTATCTGAAGACAGTCTGAGTTTTAGAACCTCTTTGTTTCTAATGGCTGGCGAATGGAGTGTCCTATACTGGGCTATCTCAATACAGCAAAGAAAGTACTTTAAAAAACTCTCCATTCCCAAGATCCCAAAGGCCTAGAATGGACTATCTCAATCCAAGAAATCTATACTGTACTTGATAATCTCATCATTCCATTCATGGTTGTAGAGCTGGACTGGGCTATTTCAGCCCAGTGATTCTATAGTATGTAAATTTTAAATCCCCAAAACTCTAAGGTCTGGAATGGGCTATCTCAGCACAAGAGTCTATGTTCTGAAGCTAACTCCTTCCTGGGATTCAAGCTTATGTAGGCTACTCCAGCACAGGGAAGATCTGTACTCCGTAACTAATGCTCTGGGGCTGCAATAGGCTATCCCAGTGCAGGGACTCTGAGCTTTGTAAATTATTCTTTCCCCAAACCTTAAGAACAGAATACAAATTGGGTCATTTCAGCATAGGTGGTCTGTGCTTGGTAATCTTGTTCCAGAAACTCTGGGTCTTTGCTGAGCTATCTAAGGCTGGTGGTGGGCCCCCCTCCCCTCCCTAGATCAAAAAACAAAAGGCTCAGGAGACCAGACCTGCCAAGGACAACTGCCAGGCCCCACTGAGAACAACCACACCTAGATGTCTACCCGGATAAGAAAATTTTGGTTACTGGATTCCGCAAATGTCACCAGCCCCTCCTATTTCTCAATGACCACCAAAGGTCACAGTGGAAAAACCCCAGCTCTTCCCGCCAAAAGTCCTCAGCCCACTTAAAAATGGCATAAAAGCCTCCCCCCCTTTCAACTGGGCACAACTTCTCCGGCCCCCCTCTCTTGGGACCCTCGAACTTCACCCAGGAGTGCTCAATAAAGCCATGTTGTTTGGTCCCAATCTTTCTCTCTGTTTCTTTTGCCGCCGGAAAACTTTATACTTGATACAGTGAAGAGTTTACTCTGTAAACTTTCTGATTCCTAGGCTATCTCAGCACAGAAATCTGAACACTAAATTCTTCATTATCTAATCTCAAGGATCTGAATTGAGCTATATCAGCCTATGTTTATACCTTCTTTTCTCTAAGCTACCAGGATTGGGCTATCTCATTACAGGGAGTAGAGTTCTGTAACTTCCCTGCTCCTGAGACTCTGGGGTTGCACTGGGCTACTCCCACACAAGGACTCTGATTTCAGTAACATCCTAGTTTTGAAAACTGGACTGGGCTATCTCAGTACAGGGAGTCTGAGCTTCATAATAACCACCTCCTTTCTAAGAATCAGTTCGATTTCCCCTAAGCCTCCTAGAAAAATCATTTTCTGATATGCCCTTGCAGGGCCTGAGAGAGGAATGGGGAAGGTGGGAGATGGGTGCTGTGTGGCACTCTCCTTGCTGCCAAGGTCTTCACTGTAGCCTTGGGGGCTCTCATACAGGGGGCAGGGGTTGGGGAGGGATAGGGGAAGAGGGAGAAAACAGATCAGAAGGGTACTGGGGTCACCTGTCGAAGCAAGTACTCCTCCTCTTCCTTGGAAATGAAATCAGGGACATAGTAGATTACAGGTGGTGCCTAGGATAGAGAGACTCCCCTGAAGGTGTGGCCCTTCCACCCACACAGGGGCCATATCATCACTGAGCCAACTCTCCCTCTGGAGAGAGACTCAGGATGTCAGTCCAGGATCTGAAGTCAAGGAACCAATGCCTATTCTGGGGTAGGGGTCAGGGTAAGACTGGACTTTGAAGGTAAGAATGAATTTGGAGGGAGGGGGCAGTCCCAACCCATGAACCCAGAAGTCAGCCTGCCTATCCCACCCCACCTCCCACCCGCTAGTCCCCATCTTCACCCTCTGCACCCCCATTCCTGACAACCTGCTCCACCCTGAATGGTTCCAGGGTTGGAACCCTGGCGTCCTCCTCCTCCATCGACACCAACTCCTTGCACCCAGTCCTGTGGGGAAAGGAGGACACACTAAAGTCACTAAGCCTCCCACCCACAGGCCATGTCTTCCACCCCATCACCAGCCAGGGCCTCACCTCAGCGGTGAAACTCACTTGGCCTCTAAAACCTGAGTCCTCAGCATCTCCAAAGCTACAGGGCGAGCCCCGAGTCTCCCTGCCCGAACACAATAACTACCCAGAATAGTCCTCCAAAACTCCACCAAGGGGCCATCAAACTACACACTTGCCCCCTCAATCCTTCCACAGACATAAAAAATAAAATAAATCCTCTCACGGAAAACATTCTCTGACCCCACCCAGGGAGCCTTTCTCAAAAGCTCCACGCATAAACCCCAGGGCTGCGCACAGAGCCCCTTTAAACATCTTGAGACCCCACTTCAGACCCACAACCACAAGCCTGGCTCTCTAACAACTCGGGGCCCCCGTGGACCCTCCTCCAGCCTCAGGCCCTTTCAGATCTCTCATTCTGAGCACCCCTGTGCCCCTAATCTGAGCCTCCTCAGACATGTCCACTCTTAGCCTCCTTGGATCTCCCACTCTGGACCTCAGATTTCCTTTCCCAAGTGCCCTTCACTCCAGCACCCTGAAGCCTTTAGCCCTGAGCCTGACTCCTCTCAAACCCTCTTCTCTCCCTGAACCTCTCAGTCCCCCGACTCTGGGTCTTTTAGGATCAGTCACTGAGCTTCCTCGGACCCCCTACTCTGAGCTTCCTCGGATCCCCACCCCCAGTCCTTTTGGACACCCACCTCTGCCCCAGGTCACCCCCAAAACTGACCGTACACCAGTGTCCCCTCCAATTTCTAAATTCACCACCCCCCTTCCCCCCTCCCAGTCACTTCCGGCCCACATTAGTGACGCAGAGCGCTCAGACCAATGGGAAACCCCAGCGGCCTTAAGGGCCCGCCTTCCACCCAATCGGCGCTCTGGCTCAGTATTTGTCCGCCCCTTCAACCCTCGCCTGGGAATAGGCTGCGCTGCCCGGCCTCTGAGCCACAGCGGGATGGAATCTTCGTCCGGCACCTGCCAATCAACTCCAGAACCGAACCTGTCTCACTGCGGAGTGGGCCCAGATGTGAGGGGCAGTCGTAGCGGCCGCGAGAGGACGTGCGGGGGGGACTTCTCGCAGGTCCATTAAAAGCCCATGCCTCAAGACGGCCAGATTGAAGGAGGAACGTCCTCTCCCACCAAGGGTACAGGATACAAGAGACAGGACCAAAACCCCCAATGACTTGACACAGAGAGGCCATAGAAACATCTTTATTGAAGAGGACAGGAGTCATGCTGTTTGGGGACATGCAGTGAAGGGGCAGTCGTGAGCTGTCCTTGGTGGTCAGGGCCCCAGGTCTACCCTGGACCCCCTGGGCCTTCAGGTTCTCCCTTGGGCTATTGGTCTGGCTGAGGTGCTGTCCCCTTTGGGGCCAGTGACCAGAACATAGATTGAAGTGGGGCTCCAGGATTTGGGATCCCCTCAGGGCCTTGGGGACTTCCATGTATCAGACATGGAGGCTTTAAGAGTTGGGGTTCCCTTGGGGCTGGGGCTCTTCGAATTTGGGTGTCTTGAGATCCATGGACTCAGGGCATTGAAGTCCTCCAGTTTCCAGGGATGGGAATTCCTGCTTGGGGTATCCTAGTGCCTGAGAGTAGGGCTTGAGATGCCCTGGGAGCCTGGGATGCATATCCTGACTGCGGTCTCCTCCATCCCAGGCACAAGGACCTGATGATTGGGTTTCCGGGAGGGTTGGGAAATTGGATTTGTAAATTTGGGATTCCCTGGGGATTTGAGGATTCTGAGATTTGGGGGTGCTTGCAGTGAGGGTCTTGAGGTCTTCTAGGGGCTATAGGACTTGGGGACACAGGGAAATTTGGGATACATGTACTCTGGGATTTAAGATCCCCAGAGTCCCAGAATGGGGCCTCCAAATTTTGGGGTCCCCCAAAGGGGGAAGTCATTACTTAAAAAATAGAGAATTTTCTGGGAGCCTGGCCAGCACAGGGGCTGTGGGCCATGTGGGGTGGGCTTCATTCAAGGCACTGGGGGTTTCTTGAGGGTGCAGAGAATAGGAAGACTTGGGGGTCCTGTAATGAACACTTCCAGGACTGTTTTGGTGTCTGTAAATTAGGAGTGACACTGGGCTGGTTAAAGTGGGTCTCTTCTTGGGCAAGAACAAAAGTCTTTGTTAATGGAGGAAGTATCTGATTGGGAGGTTGGAGTATAAGGGCTTCGGGGTGACCATGGGGTCATGACATCTCAAGGGGACTGATGTTAAACAAGGGATAGTGACATGAAGATCTGTTACTCTGGAGGTGTGGCCTATGTTTATTTCAAGAGGACTTGGGGGAGATCTTTGTTAATGGGGGTTTCTGATCCAGTGATGAGTGACTCAAGAATGTTCTGTTGTGGAGCATTATATGGAGAGGGTCACCATCATTTGGGGTGATGTGGAAATCTGTTAATTGGGGGTGTCTGCTCTGAGGGGTTGGGGATAGGGACTAGCCTGAAGGTGCTACTCAGGGAATCTTTTTCTGGGTGACATGGGTCTGTATTTGGAGGGCTATTATGGGGGAATCTGTTAATAATGGGGCCTCAGTGATTGAGGGCTGACTAATGGGGGGTCTCTACTCTGAATGTGTTACTGGGAATCTCTATCTCAGGGTGACTCGGGGGCTCCTGTGTCAGGAGATGCTAGTAGGGACTCTGTCTCTTTGTCAGGTATCCAGGGCCTCTAGGACTGCATCTCTGCCCTCAGCATCCAGGGAAACCAGCAGCAGAAGAGCAACCTGAAACGGAGAACCGGGTCACACTCTGACGCGGGCTGCAGCAACACCTGGGTCCCTCACCACTGGCTCTTCCCCCAGTGTTTACGATTTGGCCTTTCTGGATTCTGCTTCTTAACTCTCTGGCTGTGTCTTTTTAGGCTCATGTGGAGTGGAGGGTGTTCTGCTTCCTTTACCTCCCCCCTAAAAGTTAAAGTCTCCAGAATTCAGTATGGGCCCTGCACCCTAAAGGCTGTTTCTGGGTGTGCTTACTAGTCACAAATTTTCCTAACCTCTGTTTCCAGCCCCTCCCAGAGTTCCAGTCCGACTGCCTAGTGGATGCCCCTCCCTGAACATCCCATAGGAGCAGGGACAGGGGTTGGCCATGCACCTGGAGATAGAGTTCTCTGACGCAATGTCCTTTGGGGTCCGGACTGTTGTGAAGGTGCGTTTGGGCTGCGTCACTGAAGAGGAAGACAGAGTCTCAGGTGAGGGGTTGATAGACCTACCTGTGTCCACCATACCCATCCAGACTCCTTGTCATTCACACCTATCCATGTCCCCAATACCTACCTGGATCCCACATTCCCAATACTCATCTGGACTGCTTGTCAAAAATACCCGCTCTGTCTCCCAATAACTACCCCTGTCCCCAATATCTGCTCAACCCCATATCCCCAAATAGCCTTGTCATTAACTTTGCCTTTGAGACCTATCCTCTTTGGGATCCTGTCTCATCATTTTCTTGGAACCTGTGTCCTCAATTAAATACCAGAGACTCTTATCAGCATATGCCTGAGAACCTATGACCCATCCTCCATCCCCAGACCCCACCCCCTACCCTCCAACTCACTTGTCACTTGATGTACTTTTTTGGCTCCAACACTGTCCCCAGGGGGATCAGTGGATCCGCCAATCCTGGGGAGACACAGGAAAAAGTCACAGGGAAAAGTCAGAGCCACAAGAGGCCAGAGTCTGAGAAGGAGCTGAGGCCCAGGGGCCTAGGAGGAAAGAGCTGGGGTGGGGGTGGGGTATCCACATTGTCCTGCTGTTCCATGAAGATGAGACCATCTGAACGGGGATCAGGGCTTGGGGTGGTGCCCTGGGTTGGGGGTCGAAATTCGGGCTCACCTCTGAATGCGGGACGCTGGTGCAAAGACCCCATGCCGAGGGGGACAGGTGAAGTACCGGACACCAAAGACAGAGCCATCGTGCTTGCCCGTGGGCTGGTCCAGCTCAATGCCATACCAGTAACCTGCAGCAGAAGGGTGTCAGGATGCCTCAAGGCCCTGCCTGCCCCCAAGCCCAGGGTCCCCATCCTTACCTGGGGCAAAGTCTGTCTTCCCATAGAAGCGCACGATCCCCTGCTTCTGGCCTGCAACAAGGACTTGGTCTCCCACCTCGGCCTTGGCCCCATCGCGCTGCTGCAGGCTGCCCAGAGATGGGGATGACGGGGACTTCTTCTTGCCTAAGGGTAGAGGGTACAGGGCTGTGGCTGTGGCCCCAGCCAGCTATGGGGACCTCATGCCACTGGTAGAAACCCTGTCCTGGCTCTAATCAGAGGAACTCCAGAGACTTCCCCAGAATTGTGGGGTGTGGTGGGGGCTTGGCTGGAAGGGAAACTGAATCCCAGATGCCAGAGAACTAGGAGGGGGGCTTTAGGCACAAGGAGAAACTGAGTCACAGAACCTGAAGAACCCCAGAATCTTTTCTCAAAACAGAGAGGATATGTGGGCCAAAGGAAAAAGTGAGTCAGAAGTCAGGATCCCAGAAACTGTCCTTTTAAAATGAAGGGTGAATTGGGTCTGAGACTAAATCAAGTCACAAAATCCAGGAACCCCCAGATTCTTCCTTAAAACTGGGGAAAACCTTTGGGCCTGAAGGGAAAGTAAGTTACAGAAGGCAGGGAACCCACAGGTCCTTCCAAGAGCTAGGTGGGTACTAAGCCAGAGGAGAAACTGAGTCACAGGAGTCAGAAACTCAGAGCTTGTCCTCTAAAACTGGAGTTTGGGCCTGAGCAGAAACTGAGTCACAGAAGCTGAGCAACCCACAGAGTGGCGCGTCCCACCCCTAGGGCTCCCTTCTCTGACCTTTGTGTTCCCTGCGGCCTTTGCCAGTGACACGGGAGAAGTCCATCCGGGGAGTCCGGGGTGTGGAGGTGACAGAGGAGGGGGGTGCATCCACTGCCTTGGAGATCTTGGACACGGAGGCAAAGAGACCTGGGGGGACAGAGCCTGGGCTCGATGTCGTCCAAGCCTCTGCTTCAGTCCTGTCCTCATCCCCCAGCCACTGTTACCCAGGCAGCAGCATCAGAACTTCTGCGTGGGCCCCCCCCCCGCCCCTCTTGGGCCCCAGGTGGCACTGACCCTGCTTGGGAGGGCAGATGAAGTACCGGACTCCCCCAACACTGCCATCGTTCTTGCCCTCGGGTTCGTCCAGCTCCACGCCCACCCACTGGCCGCTGGCGAACTCCGTGGTCCCGCAGAACCGCAGCGTGCCCGTCTGTGGGGAGACAAGGGAGGATACGGCTTCAGGAGGGGACTTGGGAGGCCACGGCGGACCATGGCACACAGGCAGCATGATGGGGTGGCTGAGGGAAACCCGGGTGCAAATCTCAAATCAGACATCATCATTTACTGGCTAGACGACTTAACCTCTCTGTGCCTCAATTTCCTTATCTCTGAAATGGGAACAGAAATCATACTCACCTTACAGGATTGTCTTAGAGCTGCCTTGTCCAATAGAGTAAACAGTGAACAGCCACATAGGACAATTTAAATTTAAACTAAATTAAACATTCATTTCCCCAGTCACACCAGCCAAATTTCAAGTGCTCAACAGTGACATGTGGCTTCTGGCTACTTTACTGGACAGCACACAGAACATTTGTACCAGCACAGGAAGGTCTTTTGGCCAGGGCTGTCATGGAGAAATTCAAGCCGTCAGAACAAGGCCTGCTACTAAGGAAGGGATAGGCAAGTGTTG